AGAGGGGGGCGGCGGGAGGGAGGGGGGGAGGGGCGGCCAGAGACAGGTAGGGGGCAGCGGGAGAGGGGGCGGCGGCGCCTGCGAGCACCAGCAGGAGGCGCGGCGGCGGCGTGTCGCCGGCGGAGGCGGAGGCGCGGCGGAGCAGGGCGGCGAAAGCCTTCAGCTGGAGTGCGTGGTCCTTCGGGGCAGGGGAGGGAGGGGTGGAGGGGAGGAGGGGGCGTCTCAGGCCCATGGCGTCCCGGCAGCACAGCCCGCTCTATCGGGGAGGGCGAGCGTCTCCTTCTCGGGACGGAACTGCGCGACGGAGAGGAGGAGGAGGGGCGCGGCGCGGCGCTCGAGCGGCAGCGCGCGGAGAGCCGCCGTATCGCACCTATCACTCATCACTCCTCTCATCAATCATGAAGAAGGAGGATGGACAAGGAGAGCCGCCGAGTCGCACGGAGGGAAGGCGACCGCCACGCGGCCGGCCGCGCCTGTACAATCAACAGCTACATGACTCATTGACCAGTCATTCATGGCGGTAAGCGACCTCCGCGGCCGGCGGGCCGCACCGCGCCAGAGCGAGCGGAGGTGGCCCGCCGTCCACGAGCCTGGCGGAGGGGGGGGGAGGAGGCCAGGCCTCAAGTCTCGCTCGCTGCATCTGAGGCCGCGCGCCGCTCTCGCCGTTTGCGACGACGACGTCCGCAGCGGCGCCAGAGGCGCCGTACGCAGCGGCGAGGGCGCGGTAGTAGGCGAGCTTGAGCGAGGTGAGGGCGGGGGAGCTGGCGATGCGCGCCGCGTTGTTGTGCGCGCCGGCGCGCCGCTCGACTGCGCCCACCTTTGGAGGCTAGTCCAGGACAGGTCCAGGACAGGTCCACCTGTCGGCACTCTGCCGTGTCCTGGAGCGTGTCATGCGCCCGCTCTCCGGCGCCAGCTCTCTGGCGCCAGCTCCTCCTCGCCAGCGCCCTCGCCATCCCAGAGGAGAGTGCCAGGCGGTGGACGCAGCCGGCGGATCATCTCGCGTCATCTCGCATCATCTCGCGCCATCTCGGGCCATCTCGCATCATCTCGCATCATCTCGCGCCATCTCAGAGGAGAGGATCGGGTAGTGGACGTAGCAGCCGACCCGCCGCACGCCGAGCGCCTTGGCGGCGGCGTAGCAGTAGCCATAGCCGGTCGTGTCGAGCAGCACGCTCGGCGGCGCCCGCGCCAGCGCCTCCAGCAGCAGCAGCAGCGAGCCCACCGCCTGCCCGAGCAGCGTCGCCACCGGGTAGCTGGACGGCTCGACCACCCTCCGGCTGCGGAGGCGGACAAACTCGACGCTCTCGGGCACGTCGACGCCGAAGCGCGACAGCGTGGCCGCGCGGATCTCGTCGTCGCTGGCCGCGTCGCCCGTGTAGACCACCACACGCCAGCCCTGCAGCTGGTGCCGCGCAAGCAGCTCTCGGAGCGCGACCCACAAGACGCGCTCGCCGCCGCCGCCGTCGTTGGCGTATGGGTGGAGCACGCCGAGCACGCGGCGAGCCCTGACGACACGCAGGCGCAGAGACAGCAGGCACGCGGAGAGGAGCGCGAGCAACAGCGCCAGTGGCGCGAAGAGCAGCGGAGCGAAGAGGGTTGACATCGCAAAAAAACAAAGGGGCGACCTCCTGCCTCCAACCTCCTTCCTTTTTTGAGCAGGTGTGACGCCGCGCGAGCGACGCTCCGAGATCGCCCGAGATAGCGCGGCGCGGCCCCGAGATCGCCTGAGATAGCGCGAGATCGCCCGAGATCGCGCGAGATCGCCCGAGATCGCGCGGCGCGGCCCGGGGCGAGGTGGATGGGTTGGGAGCGAGGGGGCGGAAGTGACCAGTGCGGTAGATGTTAAGCTCGAGGCGCGTGAGCTGGACTTGTGAGCCGGACCACCCCCTCTTGTTCCCTGCGTTGTTGAGCCAGGACTCAACATACTCGGGCTGTCCATCCCAAACTGTCACTCCCCTTTCTCCCGGCCGAGGTGGGGCGCGCGCGGGGGCGGCGGGTGTGCGGGATGTCTGTGGGCCCGAGAGCGATATGCCATGTCCGCCTTGCGTTTGTTTCATAACATCGAAGGCTAAGCTCAAAAAAAAAAACAAAGTGAATTTCCAGCAACTCTCAGCCGGAATTTTAGAAAAAAAGAATAGGAAGGCGGGGGGGCGATCGCGGGGCTGCTCCGTGAGTGCTGTTTTGGTCACCGGGGACGCAATGTGGCGCCTGCTTCGGCCCAGGACAATGACGCCGCCTCCATGCATAGCATACGCGCCCGGCAGTGAGCTGTCGAGGTTCTTCTTCTCTCTTGTGCTGGCGCAGCCCGGCGGAACACTTCTAGCACTGAGCACTTGGAGCACTTACTGAGGTTGGTTTTTCTGTGTTCCGATCGTGAAGATCCCGCTTATAATCCAATCAGGCAGTCCCCCGACGGACCGATCGACGCTATCCCCCCCTCGATAGCCGCCGCCGCAGCCGACGCCGCAGCCATGGGGGGGAGTTTTTGCGCGCAGATCAAGCCCCGGATGGGGGATATTGCGGGCTGGGCGCAGCTCTTCTTCGACAATCTCGCGACGCTGCTCGCCGTGATTGGCAGCATCAAGCTCGTGCTTTCCGGCTTTTACGACGGCATGCCGCCAGAGGACGTCGGCAGGCTTGATCCTGTGAAAGCCCCCTACTACGACGCGGTGAACGACTTGATTTACACCAAGACCGTCCCGGGTCTCGCCTGCACCATGTGCTATGGCAACCTGTACTACGCCCTGATGGCCATCCGGCTGGGCATGAAGGAGGACCGCAACGGCGAGGTGACGGCACTCCCCTTTGGAATCAACACGCCCGGCGCGTTCGCATTCATCTTCGGCGTCTTATCGCCGGCCACCATGGCATGCTCATTCGGATCCCCAACTTTCCCCAATGGCTGCTCGCCACCCGAGGACCTCGGGATTACCCTCACAGACGAGGAGTATGTGACGTGCTGGACTGAAGCGGCGACCGAGGGCTGGAAGGCCGGCGTGCTGAGCAACCTGATGTGCGGCTGCATCTGCATAGTGCTCGGCCTATTCGGCTCCCTGATCGTGCTCCTCACGCCCACCTCGGCCATGCTCACCTCGCTCGCCGGCATCGGCTTCGCCTTCCTCGGCTTTGCGCAGGCAGCCAACAACTTTTCGGAGCCGCTCGCCGGCTTCCTTCCGTTCTTCATGTGCATCGCGCTCTTCTACGGCAACGTCAACACGGGGTGCTTCCCGCAGGCGCTCATGATTGCACTGACTGGTATCGCGCTCGGGTGGGCCGACGGCATCGCAAACGTCGACGGCATCAAGGCGGCGAGCTCAGAGGTCAAGTGGCGCGGCGTCTCTTGGGGGTACGATGCGTGGACCGACTGGACGCACGCCACTGAGTATCTCGGCACGCTGATCCCGGTCGCCTTTGCGGCGTCGGCCAACTCGCTCATGAATGTCCTCTCAGCGGCGGAGGCCGGTGACTCGTACAACGTGATCGAGGTGATGTGCAGCGACGGCTTTGGCGCCTGCATCGCCGCCTTTCTGGGCACGCCGTTCGGCACCAGCGTCTACATCGGCCACCCGGCGTACAAGAAGATCAACGCGGGCGTCTGCTACGCGCTTCTCAACTGCACGCTCTTCATGGTTTTCGCGCTCTTCAGCGTCTTCGCCGTCATCGCGGCGGCGGTGCCGCTGCCCGCCGTCTGCCCGCTCATCTTCTTCGTGGGCATGATGATTTGCCAGGAGGCAATGGCCAGCATGCCCACGCGCCAGTACCCGGCCTTCATCATCGGACTCTTCCCCTCCACCCTCGACTGGGCCATCACGAGCGGCGTCAACCACGGCGGCATCGGCACCAACGCCTACTTCGGCCTCGCGGCCCTCAAGCCGGGCGCCATCTTGCTGTCGACCTTCCTGTGCGCCATCTCGATACACTTCATCGACCGCAAGTACAGCGCCGCCATGGCGTGGTGCATCATGGCGGCGATCCTCTCCGCCGTGGGCCTCCTGCACCAGGACGGTGTGGCAGCCAGCAAAGAGGCCTGGGAGTTATGGCTGGAACCGTCCGGCATGTTGTACTGCGAAGAGAATTGCGCCCCTGGTTCACCGGAGCCGCCGGAGTTCTTCACCAAGACGGTGAAATGGCGCTTCTCTGCTGCGTACGGCACCGTGGCGGTGATGGCCATCTTCCTCTGGATGGGCCAGTGCTGCGGCCTCGTCGACCCACCGATCGTCGACGAGGTTGGCGACGCGGACGAGACGAAGAAGTCGCAGATCCAAAACTCGATCCGCAGCGCGAGGGCGTCGGGCCGCATCTCCAAGGCTCCGTTCTCGGAACGGCAGGGCTCCAACGCCTCCGCAAAGGCCATGGCCTGAGGGCTTGGCGAAGCCCAGCAGACAGTGCGGGCAGGAGGGGGCGAGGCTCCGGCATCGGCGGACCGCGAGTGCTGGGACCGGCTAAGAAACTGCAGGGACCCAGACGCCAGAGAGCGAGATGGGTGTATGTTCCGTGTCGCCGCGGCGCGTGCAGGTAGGAGAGAGTCAGGGCTCTTATTCGGACGGCTCTATACGTGCGCAGGGAGGAGCATGGGGGGAGCGGGGGGGTTGTCATGAGTGAGAAATGTTTCCCCCTCTCTTCCGGGGCAGCGGGGGGCACACAAGCCACAACACATGAAAATCTCCGCAGACCGCACGCGCGGAGACCGCGAAACGCGCCCGAGACGCGACCGACGCGAGACGGACCCCCTGCCACCCCCGAGAGGCGAGAGACTCACCCGCGAGAGGTGAGCGCGACCCGCACGTCCGCCGGCCGCGCAGGCCGGCCCCGAGCGCCCGCCGAGTCGCCGCCGAGCGACAGCGAGTCGTGCCACTCCGGAGTGTGCGGCAGCGAGCGGGCCCGCGAGAGCCGGGCCGCGCCGGCCCCGCAGGGCGCTGTTAATTCTTTATTTATTTACCTTCGAAAAGGACCAGCCCGGGCGCCCCGTCCGCGCAGAGCTCTGACGAGAGTCTGCAGTCTCTCACCCCAGCTCTGAACTCGTGACAAAGCCCCTAGGACTGCCTGCCCGCCTGACTTGCACGCTGGCCGAGCTCATACTCCCTCGCCTTGTTGAACTTTTTCCGAAAGAGCCGCCGGCGCGAGAAGAGGGCGTCGATCGGGTCGCCCCGCTCGGACGCGGAGCGCAGCGCGTCGACGAGCGGGGCGCTGAGGTCGGTGTAGAGGGCGGTGGCGACGCCGGAGCGGCCGGCGCGCGCGGTGCGGCCCACGCGGTGGATGTACTCGACCGCGTTGGCCGCCATCTCGTACTGCACCACGTGGGCAACCTGCACAGCGCCGCAGAGCGGGGAGGGAGTGAGGGGGGTGCCGCCGCTCTCGCCCCCTTTCTCTCCCTCCCTCCCCCCCCCTCCCCTCTCGCACGGGCGGGCTCACGTCGGTGAAGTCGATCCCGCGCGAGGCGAGGCCGGTGCAGACGAGGACGGGCAGCTCCCCCTGCTGGAAGGCTGCGAGGTGCTCCCGCCGCTCCTCCGGACCCACGCCTGCTCGAGACGCGCGCACAGCCGGCCGGGCTCAGTGTGCCGATCCACATACCGCGCCGATTGCGCCGCGCGGGCGAGAGGCGGGGGCAGGGGCGGAGCGGAGGGAGGGAGGGAGAGGGGGGGGGGGGGGGTTGGCGGGCCGTTGTGGAAGGCGGCGCAAGTGCGGACGCCCTGCAGCTCCGCCTCGGCCGCCTCCGCCGTGGCGAGCGTGTTTGCGAACACCAGAGTGCGGCCCTGCGGCCCCTGCTGCACTGCGGCGCGGAGCGCGGCGGCGCGGCTCTCCTCGCCCACCTATCCCAGACGGCTCCGAGACGGCTCTCACGGCCTCCGAGGCACGGCCGGCGGCTTGCGCGGCGCTCGGTCTCGGCCCGCACACCCGCACGAAGAACTGACGCAAACAGGGGATATCCCGGCGACATCTCGGCGACATCTCGGCGACATCTCGGCGACATCTCGGCGACATCCCGGCGACATCTCGGCGATGTCTCGGCGACATCTCGGCGATGTCTCGGCGCACCCGCACGAAGAACTGACGCAGCCGAGGGCCGATCGAGTGGTGCTCGCGGCCGGTGCGCACCCACGCCGCCGCCTGCAGGCAGGCTCCGAGGCGGTGCAGGGGGGAAGACGCTCCGAACAACGACGGGCGCTCCGCCTCCCGCTCGCTCACCGGCCAGCTCCGCTCGACGTGCAGGTGGACGTTCTTCGTGCCAGCGTTCGGCATGGTGGCGCCCACCAGCATAAACTGCTTGAGGCCCGCCCACCTACAGACCAACGCCCAGAGACGCGCCTCCGAGCCGGACACTGCGTGCGGCGCGGGGCCGCCCGGCGCCCGCACGTCTTTGCGCGAGCCATGCGTACCGCGTCCCTCGCCGCCTGCCGCACATTCATTCATCCATAGTGCTCACTTCACAATGAGAGCCACGCGTGCCGCGTCCCTCACCGCCTGCCGCTCCGCGTCGCTGCCGACGCGGTGCAATCCGATGCGAGCGCGTGCGAGGTCCCTCCCCGCCATCGAGCCCTCCTCGGCCGCCGACGCCTTGGCCGCCCGCTTGAGCTCGGCGCAGATCTGCTCCACCTCGTACCGGTCTCGGATCGCCTACAAGGGAGGCTGGCCACGCGCCGTCCGGCAAGGACGGCAAAGAGCCGCCGCCGCGCGACCCGGCTCGCGGCTCGCCGGCTTGAAGGAGCCCGCGAGGAGCTGGTCGGCCTCGTCGAGCACAGCCCACCTGCTCGCAGGCCGGAGCGCGTGAGCAGCGCCGCCGCACCCTCCCCGCCCTCCCACCACCCACCCCCGAACCTCACTCTCCCCGGCCCACGCAACCGCCCGCCCCGCGAGCCGCGCCACGAGCGCAGGGCGACGGCGGGGGTGGCGCAGAGGACGTCCGCCTCGCCGTCGGCGTCCGCCTAGGCACGCAGCCCGCACGCCTCGGGACGCGGGCGCGGCAGCCACGGCGCGGCGCGGAGACCCCTCTGTCCTCGGTCAGCGCCGACGAGCGCAGCTGCAGCGACGGAGGCAGGCCGGCGAGCAGCGCTCGCACCGTCGCGTGGACCTGCACGACGAGCTCGCGGTTGGGCGCGAGCAGCAGCGCCTGCGACGGCACGCGCGGCAGCACCAGCCGCCCCTCCTCGCCGCCGCCCTCCTCGCCGCGCGCCCTCCTCGCCTCTGCGACCAGCTCCTCCCTCTCCTCGAGCATCGCCTGCAGCACCGGCAGCGCGTAGGCGATCGTCTTGCCCGACCCGGTCTCGTCGAGCAGCACCACGTCGCCGCCGCCGCGCACGAACGGCCACGCCTGCCGCTGGATCTCGGTCGGCGCCTCGAACCCCAACCCCTGCAGGCCCGCCAGCAGCGGCTCGGACACACCGAGCTCCGCAAAGGAGCCGCCGTCGGCCGACGAGCACACCGCGCGGTGCAGCGAGGAGCGGTGCAGCGAGGGGCGGCCGCCCACCCGCGGCGCGTAGCGGAGGAGGGGTAGGACGGCGGCGAGCATGTTCCTGTTGGTCGCTCGAGCGTGGCGGGCTTGGGCGAGCGAGAGGCGAGACCGGCGCTGGGTTTTTTTTCGTCATCTACTCGCATAATGTGGGTAAACGAAAAAAGTAGCGCCCAATTCGTCTACGTACGGCTTAGTGTGTGGTTGGGGTGGCCTCAGGCATCCCCAAGGGAGCCTCTGCGGTGCCACATAAGCAGCTGAGTGATTGTCGAGACTTTAAAGGATTCGTTTGAAGAAACGCAAACAAGACAAACGGTACTATGGTCACCAGTAAACGAAAATTCGACTTTGAGGGATCATATCTCAAAAGGCTGGGTGAGAGCATAGCATTATTGTTGCATATTATACCACATAAGGTCAAACTTGACCCCAGAAGCATCAAGAACCCGATGCTCCGGCTCGACTGTGCCGGCACACTGCCTCCTCGCGCACCACGATGGGAGACGGTGTTTGCGCTGGGTCCTAAAAAAGGTTCCTTCGCCATGCGCGGTCCTCGCTGACCCTGCCAAACTCTCTCGCCGCCGTTCGCGGCTCGGCTTGCGTATGCGGTTGGGAGCTTCGAGGACATGCAGGCGTCCCGCCCCCTCCGGCCATCCCCCCCGGCTCCCAAGTGCGCGGCCGCGACGCGCTGCGCACCCTCTTCCGCGCTGCGCCCGCTCTCGGCATGGCCGTCGTCCGCCAAGATCACCTCCTCTTCGCGTCGCAGGTGCACAACCAAGGGCTGGCCATCTCCGTATCCATCATGGTGAAGCCAATGGGCCAAAAATGGAGGGAGCGCCCCTCCCAGGTGGCCGGAGGGTACACCTCGGGTCGGCGTGCTGGGGGGGCGCCGGTGCGCAAGCCCACTTTCCGGGCGACCCCGAGGGGGAGGAGGCCGGGCGAATGGCGGCAACTCATTGTTAGTGTCCCGGGCCGCTGCGGCACCGTTTATACGGCCCCTCGTGATGTCTTTCCGATTTTGTATTGTGAGTCGTCCTCTGGCCAGCCGAGGGGCACCAGAACGGCATGTGTTCTGCTGCTGGCTGCGGGCGCAGAATGGGCTTTTTTTAACTCGCAACCAAGTATACTATATAAGGACACCCTCGGGGGGGACACTCGGCGCATGTGCGACACGTCAGGGTGGAGTTGGCGGTGGCCGAGCGTCGTCTCCCGATCGACTCGCAGCGCGGAGTCGAGGGGTGAAGCGCGTCGCGCTGCGACACTCGAGAGCCGGCGGGATGGCCGTGGGGCGCGGCCGACTTTGATGCCCTCGAAGGTCCAATGCGCAATCGTTCTGTGAGACCCACGCGTACAGGAAAGGGGGCGGAGACGCGCCATTCTGCTGGTACCTTTTTTGGGACCCATCGCTCCCGCGTTCCACACAGTGACGCTGCTCGCAGGCCGTTGCGGCCCGTGGTGCGCCAGAGAGAGAGGTCGACGCGTTGCCCCCGCCGGCGACCCCGCGCGGCTCAGGCCAGCCAGAAGGTGTGTGGTGACGGCACCGTGGCAGGAGTGCGGAGAAGAGCTCGCCGAACGCGAGCAGCAGATGGCCAAAGTGTGCCAGCGCGAGAGCCTCGCGAGCGGGCGCAGAAGGAGCTCGCCGTGACACGATGCCGGGCGGTGGTGGTGCTCTGGCGACTGTGCACAGTGGGCAAAGTCAGGCTGCAACAGGGCAGCACGTTGGTAGTGCCCTGCTGCAGCCTGGCCTGACATGCACAGGGCGAACAGAGGCGGTACTATCGTCCGGCGCTCGTCACCGAATCTGGGCGAACTTCGACCGCCGCCACAGCTCACCACGAGCACGCAGCGACAAAATGTTGACTGTATGGAAGTCGAGGCTGGTCCATAGGAAGAGGCTGCCGTGCGAGCCGGCAGCAGGCTGGCTCGTCGTGGACTGCCGCGGCGACTTTTTTCGGTGTCTTTCTTGATAGTACCGAATACGGTACTTTCGTTTACCCACACTCTGCGAGTAAGGACATCCACCTCGGGACCTCGACGTCCTCCGTCCCACCCGCCCACCCACCGTTGTCTAACCTCGACTCCTCGCTCGTGCGGCGCGCCGAGGCGGCGCCGAGGGCAGGCAGGCCGGCGCGCCTTGCACCCGGCCCGCGGCCGGTAAGGTAAGGTAAGGTAATTTCTCCACACACACAAAGTGGTGGGGCAAGGGGGGGCGACCCTCGCATCTCCACACCCGGACACGGGCAGGAGCCCCACTGCATTCAAAGTGCAAGCACTGGCCCGGTGCACGTGGGTGAGCAGCCTGCACCGCCTCGCCTCACCACTGACCGCCCTGCGGCCCCTGCGCAGGCGTCGCAATCGATGGACGATGGCGTTCGGGTGCGACGCGTCGGGTGTGGGCTGCTGCCTTGCCCCGTCACCCGCCGCCCCCTCGCCCGGCCACCTCCACCGCGCACGGATCGCTCGCCTGCTCGCCACCGCCGCCGCGCGTCCCAGTCCTAGTGTGGACGGTTTTTTTGCGGTATCTTGATGTATCTCTCCAATATCTGACTGTATCTCCCCGTATCTCCTTGCATCTCCTCGCATCTGCCCGTATCTGCCCGTATCTGCCCGTATCTGCCCGTATCTGCCCGTATCTCGTAATATCCTGGTATCTCCCGGTATCTCCCGGTATCTCCCGGTATCCCGCCATATCCCGCCATATCCCGCCATATCCCGCCATATCCCGCCGCGGATACCGCGAAAAAAACCGTCCACACCAGGGATCGTCCCCGCGCCGCCACACGCAGCAAGAGGCTCTCAGCCGGTGGGTCAACATTTCGCTTGGTCCTAGGAGGGGTGCACTCGACCTAAGGAAGTCAAAATTTATTTCACACATCGGAGAGAGTGTGACCTTACTGAACTATCCGTAACCAGCTATGCACAACGTACCGCGGAGCATCTCGGCGCTCACCGCGAGGAGGGAGCAATTTTATGATGCAAGCGACACACCACCACTACATTACTCATCACTCGCTACATCCTCTACACCCTCCCTCAGTAGGGATAGCAGTGCGCATCCCTGTTCCCGGAGAGGGAAGGAGGGGGGGGGGGGGGGGGGGAGATCAGAGAGCCAAGACAGGGAGTACCCCCGACGGACGCGAGTCGCACAGTCGGGGGGAAAGCGAGACGACAGACGAGAGATTCAAGGCGAACTTCATCGCCCGTCCACAGGACGAGCCCCGCATTAGGTAGCGACCCCAGGTTAAGAGCTAGGCTTCCCGACAGGGCAGGGAACCCCCAGCGCGCAGGCGGGGCCCACGGTAGCCTCGTGCAGTACGCGATACCGTTACCGAGAGCTGGGCGCGCCTGGGGGGGAGTCGGAGAGGCGCTCCGCGCCGCGCGTGGTAATGTGGAGCTTTACTCCTGCAGAGGGCTCGGCAGACAGCCGCGGCGGGCACGCCGCCTGACACTCAGTGACTCAGACACGCTGCCGACAGCTAGCAGAGCCTCCTCGAGCACGAGGGCCCGTTGCAAATCGACGTCCTGGAGGTGAACACGTCGACACTGGAAGGCTCATCGTCCTTGTAGAACCCGTTGGTGTCGCCCTTGCGGATCCACCTCTCGTTGCTGATCGGACAAGGCAGGCCGAGAAAGCAGCAGACTCCGTTTTCTATCTTCACGTCGTCGCCCTCCGCCGTGAGCGTAGTGATGCCACACCCACCAGGTAGACAGCAACAGATCCACGTGCCAGTGAGCTCCTGCGCCGACCACAGCGGCTGGCTCCCACCAGCAGGGATCGAGCCGATGGGCACAGTGCGATGCATGGACTGCTGCACTGGTGCCATCTGCGGTGCTGCCGACGTTGCCATCATCATCGGCGCACCGCCATCAGGGATCACAGTCGCCATGACCACTGGCGCTACCGGCACATTAACGATCATCTGCTGCCCCTCGCCGACGGGCGCGACCACCTCCATAGGACCTGCCGGCGTGTTGACCTGAAACGACATGCCCGCGTAGACCCCAGGCGGCACGGTCACCTGCATTTGCTGCATTGCCGCCCACGCGCTCGCTCCAAAAGAGGCGGGGACTGCCCGCCGGCGCTATAAAGAAGAAATCGTGCGTTTCGATTTTTTCAAAAAGGGGGCAGGTGGCCGCCGCAGCCCGCAGGGATCCGCCCCACCCGACTTTTCTCTTTTTTGAGAGAGGCTCGCAACCCGACAAAAGGAGCACTTTTCTGTGTGTGGTCGATCCGCTGGGTGCGTCGTCTGGGAGTATTGCAATGCACATGCACATGTGCACATGCAAACAACGCTTCTGTGTTCTGTCAGGACGCGCTGCGCAAACGCGGTCACACATCATCAATCAAACCGCGGTCCTGAGTCACGCCGCGATCGCCTCGACCGGGTGACCTGCCGGGATTAGTTCCGACCATCTGACGGGACCACTCGCCCGGCGTCACTCACGCCGCGACGGGCGCCTCCCTCACCCGCGTGTGGACTGGGCGGAGCCTGAGCCTGCAGAGCTCCGCTGACAGGGCCGGCACGCCGCCCGGCACTCTCCCAGCGGTCACCTCGCGGAGGGCGAGGACGAGCGGCCTCCCCTTCCGGTAGGCGGCGGCGAACTGGAGCGGCAACATCCCCTCGACGTCCCGTTCATTGAGCAGGCTAGGCCTCGCCTCAGCCAGCGACACCGCGAGAGCGGGCGAGGGGCTGCCGACTTTGAGGAGGGAGAGCAGCGTCACGCCGCTGGAGACGAGCCAGTCAAGAGAGCAGAGCGTGTCGCGAGCGGCCCGTCTCCACGCCATGGAGACCGCCTTGGCTCGCCGCAGCGCGTCCACGGCCGTCAGCTTGGAAAGGACGCACAGCAGCGCATCTTCCGACAGCTCGACACCGAGGCTGGGGTCCGCGGGGAAGCAGGACCATCGAGCTGGCGTGTCGGACGCCGGCGATGGAGCAGGTGGGAACACAGAATGTCGCGGTGGCGGCGGCGGGCTGACCACCAGCGGCGGAGGCGAGAGCATGTGTGTGCGCCGTTCGGACGCGTCCAGCAGTGCCGAAGAAGAAGAATTTTTGGAGGCGAAGAATTTTACAACCCATCTCATCCCAGATAAATCGAGAGAAACAGATAGACAGGAAGGCGAAGAACACTCGAGAGAAAAAGATGGACAGGAAGAACACTCAGCCCCTGGCCACACCAGCGCGGTAAGGGTGGACGCGGGACAGAAGACGACACACTCTCACCTGGCAACCCTGTCTGCACGTCTTGCGCGCGCGTGAACAGGGCTCCAGGCCCCAAATGACGTGTGCGTGTTAGAGTTGTTTGGTATTGCTAAAAATCTCTCTCAGAAGACGACGGCACGCTCGAGCGACACACCGCCGACACGCTGCTCACAAGAGAAAGCGGACACAAAACAAGAACACTACTTCGCAGTCTCTCACGTTACAAGGGACATTCTGCAGAGATGCAGGGAGGAGCTCGGCCTTGGGAGGAGCTCAGGCGCTTAAAAAAGCGCCAGACAGGGGGGGTCGCCACAAAGGTGTGGCGGAGAGGTGCCGCCGCGGTGCCCACCGGTGCCCGCAAGGAGCGCCGGCCTTGGAAGCCCGCCCGCCGGGCCAGCAGCCGCCAGCGCCGCCGCCACCCTGCCGGCCACGCCCGCGCGCACGCCGCTCGCGCCATCCTCCTGACCACCCTCTGCGCGCGCACAGTTGCATCTCCGTTTTGCCGCGCGAGCCATGGTCAGGCCGTAGAGGTCAGTCAGTCAGTCTTACACACCTCCTAGCATGGGGAGGACGGGCCCACACGCACACACACGCTGCACACGATTGGCTCGGGAGCCGACACGAGGCACGCTGTCATCGGCCGTAGCACTGGGTCCGGACTGCTGGACGCACTACACATAGCTCACAGACAGCTCACGAGGTGGCGCTATATAGTGGGGTTCGCGGGGACCGACGCAGGAGAAGAAAGTGGGGCACAGGGACAGGGACACCGTACTCACGTACTGACATCCCGCCCCGCGCCGGGGGCGGTGGCGCGCGCCGCGCCGGGACACTTTGGACCCGCAGCCTGGCATACGCCACGCCATAGTATAGATCCGCCGGCAGAGCCTTGAAGCCGCACGTCCGCGATCCGCGCCGGCTCTCAGAAGAGATCCGGCGCGGTGCTGACCGCGTCCTCGCAGCGGATCACCGAGTGCACGATGATGTCCGAGGAGAAGCGGTGCAGCTGCGGCACAGTGCGGTAGTCGCACACAAGCCGCATTGCGGTTTGCGGCACTCCTGCTGCAACGCGCGCGCGGTGGTGAGGAGAGTGCGAGCCCTTGAGCTGTTGGAGTCAGTCCATCGCCCACGCATGCGCGCTGGCCTTGAGGTGGTTCCACCAAGAGCTGGCCCAGGGGTTGTGGCCTTGCGCAGAGCGCAGGAATTTTGCCGAGCGCGCCCTTGGTCCTAGGGCGCTCGGGGAGTTGAAGGCGGCCGCCGTGGTGCGCGTAAGGGTTCCGGAGAACCTCTTGGCACCACGCGAGTGGCGGCCGCCACTCCGACGCGCCGCCGGTGGCGCCGCGCAGAGCGCGCAACACCACCAGAGGTGCGCCCAAAAGCCACAGGGAGGCCGTAGAGGTGCGCTGACAAACTAGGAGCGTGCGCTGCGCGGACGCAGAGGAAGAGGGAGGAGGAGACGTCGAGGGGCGCTGCACACGAGGGTGGACAGCAAGGTGGTGCAGCTCTGGCAGCAGCCAGATCCTTTGCGCATCTGCGCCGCCAGCCGCGCCGCACTGCGGCGCAGCCGCCGCCACAGCAAGCGAAGCAGCGACGAGCAGCGCGCGCGCGCGCGGCGGCGGCCAGCCGTCGCAAGCCAGCCCGCGGCCGGCCTCGACCGGCCGCGCAGCCGCCCGCCCGAGGGCGAGCATGGAGCGGCCAAACTTAGAGACTGATGGCTAAGCCACCGCTCCCCTCCCCTCCTCCCCGCCCGCCTGCCCGCCCGCCCCGCCCCCCTCGCCCGCGCACTGGCCACCGCCCTTCGCGCATTGACTTATAGGCGCTCGAGACCTCCTCTCGCTGCCTACTCGCTGCCTCTGGGGAGGAGGGGAAGACGTCAGGTTGAGCTGGACTCGCCAGGCTGAGGCCCCTCCCCGAAAGGCAAGTACTCGAGTATTAGCCTCACGAAATCGAGACCGCCCTCCCCACCGCCCCGATCCCCCCACCCCCTTGCTTCCCTCCCCCCCTCGGTGTGAGTGTGAGTGCTCACTCACACACACACACCCCTCGGGAGGGCCGAAGAGAGGCGCCCGTGGGGACCCCGCAATTCCCTTCCCCCCTCGGAGGGGGCCGGACGAGGCGTACCCCGAGGGCCCCACTCTTTCCTTCGAATAGCGGCCACTCTTCGGAACGCTGGTCGAGCGACCCGGGGGATGCCCCGCGCGCCTGACCCAGTCGCGAGAAACGAATCTGCGAGGCGCGGCCGCTTATGCGGCCCGATGGGGAGGAGCGGGACGGACTACGGGGATCGGCTTCTTCCACAGCCCCCTTCCCCGCAGCGAGTCCCCTCCAACCCACCCGCGCTAGGTCTCGGGCGGCGAAGGGGTCACTCCGACGACCTCGGGAACTAGCCGGGGCAGTCGGAGAAGGGGCAACTCCGTGCACTGACGGTCGGCCGCCAAAAACACCTCGAGACTGAACAGTATCGAGGTCTCGGTCTCGGCTGTTCCGCAGAGGCGACCACACCGAGGATCAGGACAGCACATGCTTGCCACAGCAAAAAGGCTTCCGCGGGCCGCGCCCGCGCTGCTCCGCGGCGCCGCGCGCCGGCTAGCAGCGCCGGCGCGGGCCGACTCGAACGTCCCGTTCGCGACCAGCCTCAACGCGAGCCTCGCCGAGACGGATCCGCAGCTCTTTGACATTGTCGAGCAGGAGAAGCGGCGGCAGCGCTGCTCGCTTGTGCTTATCCCGTCGGAGAACTTCGCGTCGCAGTCGGTGCTCGACGCGCTGGGGTCGGTGATGCAGAACAAGTACTCGGAGGGCTACCCGCACGCGCGCTACTACGGCGGCAACGAGTACATTGACATGGCGGAGGACCTCTGCCGCTCGCGTGCGCTGGAGGCGTTTGGGGTGACGCCCGACGCGTGGGGCGTCAACGTGCAGCCGCACTCGGGCTCGCCGGCCAACTTCGCCGTCTTCTCCGCCCTGCTGCAGCCGCACGACAGGCTGATGGGCCTCGACCTCCCGCACGGCATCGGCCGCCGCCCTGCGCCGAGGCGAGGAGGCGGCGCCCTTGCCTTGAGGCTGGTCGGGAGGTTGGCGTAGGCGGCCACCTGTCGCACGGCTTCCAGACCGAGACTGGCCGCTCCATCTCGATGGTCTCGCGCTACTTCACCTCGATGCCGTACCGCCTCAACGAGGACCCTCCGAGACCGCCGCACGCAGAGAGCCGGGCAGCCGGGCGCTGAAGCGTGTTGCGTGTCTCGCACAGGCGACTGGGATCATCGACTACGACAAGCTGGAGGAGTCGGCCACCATCTTCCGGCCCAAGCTCATCATCGCCGACGCCCGCCCCCGGCCGCAACGCCGCAACAGCAGCGCCGGCCGTCGGCGTCTCAGCCCTCTTCCGCTGCCGCGCCTGCAGGCACGTCTGCGTACTCGCGCCACATCGACTACGCGCGGATGCGCCAGATCTGCGACAAGGCGCCGCCCCTCGCCTCCTGCCCGGCCGAGGGGGGGCGCCGCTCCCCTCTTCGCTCCCCCCCCCGCGCCTCACCGCGTGCGTGATCTCGCCAGGTCGGGGCGGTCCTGCTCGCAGACATGGCGCACATCTCCGGCCTCGTCGCAGCAAAGGAGCGAGAGCACTCTAGCCCGTATAGCACAGAGGACGCGCACCCTCTGGCCTCGTCGCCGCAATGGCTCCCCGAG